ATGGAACAGTTGGGAGCAACAGAAAGCTGAATTCATCTTAACTGGTGGGAATGCTAGCCACCAGCGGGGCTTCCTCCTAGGCCTTGAAAATCCTTTTACTCCCCTAGTGCTTCTTCCTCCAAATGATAAAATTAGTGGCTCCCAGCAGGGTCTGACCACGTGTGACCATCACATTAAGAGAAAACATTTAGGAGTCCTAAGCAAAGTGTAGTTGGACTATTGTTTAGTAAGATACCAAACTCTGTTGTAATAATTTATTGTTTAATCATTACTGAGAAATGGCACTAGAGCAATCTTCTGAACAGAACTGAAGCAGCAGATCACTTTTGAAAGAAAGTATTTAAATTTAAATCTAATTTAGCAACTCATTGACCAGAACATGATTCAAAGGGAGCTTCTTTAAAAAGTGAAAGAGTTGGCTCAGGGAGATAGCTCAGTAGAATAAACGCTTGCCTGGCAAGCACAGGGTCCTAAGTTCAATCCCTGGTACCAACAAAAACAAAAACAAAACAAAAAAAAAAAAGAAAGAAAAAAGAAAAATCTGGCCAAATGGCTCAGAGGATTAAAGTGCTGGCTTAGGCAGACACAGGGACCAGGAGTTCGATCCCTGGGCTTGATGTCCCGGCCCCACCCCTGGGATGTGCTGAGATAGTGATTGAGACTGGGCATTGTGGTGCACGCCTGTTAATTTCAGCACTTGGGAGGCTGAAAACAGGAGAATCACTACAAGTCCAATCTATATAATAAGACCCTGTCTGTACTAAATACATAAAAAATATTTTAAAATAAAAAGTAAATGCTTTATTTCACATGTTTTTTTTTTAATTTTTCCTGGTCCCTAGCTTAGATCCAGATCTATGAAATATCCAAAAGAATTGTGTTGCAATAAAGCAGAACTTCAATCTGGTGTGGAAAGCTCTGTTGTTTGTTTTAAAGACATAAGGCCTGGGATTATTCTGCTTTTATCCATGTGAAATAGATTCAGACTAATACCAATGACAGCATGTCAGGCTTTATTATGATGTAATGGTTGAGAAGTCAGAGCAAAAATCGAAGAGCAAAATTGCTTCAGAAAGAGGCCAGATAACCTTAACATTGAAGACAGCTATACATGATGAATTCTGACTCTGAGAACAATTTGTCACTTGCTTTGAAAGTTATAATATATTTTAGAGAACTCTACAACAATAAAATATATGTGATTTGTCTCACTTATATTTGATAAAACTTCATACATTTAACTATGTATTGAGGACCTCACATATATATGGCATAATCCGTGAAAGATATACCGTGAAAAATATGCCATATCTTTCAGCCGTCATATTCAGCATCTGTGCAGTGTACTGACATTTGTAGATCCTAGAAAATATACGAGTGAAGTCAACATACAATCTTTCCCTTCAATCAATTAAAATACCTGAAAAGTGCAACTCCCATAGGCAGTGCTCTCCTACAGAGACCCCCCAGCCTTTCTGGCACTAGGGGATGGGTTTAAGAAAGACCATTTTTCTGCAGGAGAAGGGGAGGAGAGAGGTACGGAGGGTGGTTTCAGGATTAGACTCTCTTTAAGAGCTCAGCTGTGTAGCTCCCTCCCATGTCTAGTTCACAAAAGGAGCTTCACAACTCCCCCTGGGAAACCCTGTAGACACTGAGGGCCTGACCGGGAGGCCTGGAGGGATGGGGCATGGCTGTAACCTCAGATGCGACTTCCCAGCAGAAAGCTGCTCCCCTCCTTCTGTGTGGCTGGACTCCTAACAGGATGCACTTCCTGCCATAGGGTTGGGAACCCCTGCTCCAGTGAACAGGTCGGTGGTGCTAAATTCAGTTATGCAAGTCAGCATTATCAAATGAGTTCTGAAATAAAGAAGCTAACTCTAATGGCACTGGGGGACACTCTTGAGTCTCTGCTACTTTAGATTCATGATAATATGCCTTCACTTCAAGCTGTGAACAAATAACCATCAAACAAAAATTACAGGTACCAAGTACTACGATAGGTATCAAGAACAAGCTTAAAGAGATACTGAGCCTTCTTAAAGAAGCAAACTAATAATTTCAGTACAGTATGGCACATGCTTTTTAACAGGGACACCCACGATCAGGGGAGTGCTTAGAAAGAAACACTTAGGCCTGGAGGCGGGATTCCTACAGATCCAGTGTCTAAGGGCTGGAGGATAAATAGGCCTCTGTTGGTTCACCAAAGAGAAGAAACTGAAAAACAGAAGAAAAAGCATACTGCTAGGCAGTAAAACTGCGGTGGGAACAACCGATAGTTTGATACAGATCTAGAGTCTTAGGTGATAAACAAGGAAAGGAAGAAGTGAAGTAGGCTGGCAAATAAGAGGAGGACCCCATGTTAAATTTAAGCATCTTAAAGAGCAGAGATGAAGGACTGAAGAATCTTCGAACCACCTAACTAGAAGGATACAAGACAGATTAAAATCAAATCAGTGTGAAAGGAAGGAGACAGGTTCGGTAAGCTTCGTGACGGTTTGGAAAGAGAAGGCTTTTATGAGAGCAGTGGCATCTGAGATGGAGAAGTAGATTGATCAATGTTGATGGAAGGATCCACAGGAATTGACAGATAATTGGAAAAGTTTAAGGGAAACAAGGTTTATGTGATAGGTAATATAAAATAAGTAATTTGAAAAAGAAAGAGAGAAAGGGAAAATACATATGTATATACACATGACAGCTTGGATAACTGTACTGCCGATTTCTACCTGTCTATTGAAAGGAGCAGCTAATGCTTAAGTTTTTGTCTTCTTTTTAATTTTTTTACCCATTTTGCAATTTTATATCTGGTAATCAGAGCAACCAATTTGAAGACAACAATCTGCAATATAACATTGTTGAATTTCTATCATTTTGTTTAGTGAAATTCTGTATAAATTCTATGTGGTGTTTTTACTATTTTTTATTCTTTTTTTTAGAACAATAGGTTTTACAGGAAAGAAAGCCAAAAGCTAAACACCAGCAATAGGTTTTATTTCTCCTGCAACTTGTTTTCCTTCTATTAAAATATTATTCTCTGCATTTGGTCTTGTTTGTTTGTTTATACTCTTAGGTTTTTATTTTTTTAACTACTATATCTTCATTGTATTTCCTGTACAATGATAAAATGAATGACTCAATTTAATTAGGAAAAAATACTCAACATCCAAAGGTAAATAAATTAATAAAATAAGTAATCTGAGTAGGATGTGGAGTTGGGTATGGCTACAGTGTTGAAGATGCATTTCTATGTGGTTTTAATCTATAATCTTTAATATACATTTATGTTATATGTATTTATGGCATTTTAAAAAATATTTCAAATTCACTCAGAAAGTGTCCAGAGCTTTTTTGTACTAAGCTTATTATCTCTTAGGTATTTCTCTTCATAACCAAGTATCTTGAAATGTATCATATTTTAAGTGAGGCTTTAAGTCAAGCATTATGTAAAATGGAAGTTTCAGAGACACAAAAGACAAGATTTGTAAAGATTAAGAATTTGTTTAACTGGACATAGTAAATATATCTAACTGAAGGTAGTAATATAGTGTGCTCAGAATTCCACTTTGATTATAACACTGGAGTGTCTGTATTTTTCTGCCACACATCAGCCATTACATCAAGGGTTCTAAAAGGGCTGGCCAAATAGCTCAGCGGCTTAAAGAGCCTGCTTAGGCAGATATAGTGGCTGGGGTTTGGTCCCTGGTGTGTGGTGCCATCCCCATCCCCGGGGCACACTGAGACAGCGATTGAGACTAGGAGAGGTGGCACCACGCCTGTAATCCTAGCTCTTGAGAGGATGAACACAGGTGGATCAGTACAAGTCCAATCTATGTAGTGAGACCCTGTAGACCCTATACTAAAAAAAAAAAAATAAAAACTATGCTGGGCTTAGTGGTAGAGTTCTTCCCTCACATGCACAAAACCCTGTCTTCCATCCCCAGTGCCACCAGTAGCCCCCATAAAAAAAAAAAAAAAAGGTTCTGATCATGGCTCAATGGTACAATATGTGCTCCACGTGTACAGGGCCCTTTGTTTTGTCCCCAACATCCTAAAATACAAACAAAACTATCATCTAATTTTAGAGGGGTTTTTTGTTGTTGCTTGTCTGTTTGTTTTGCAGCATCCAGGATCAAACTTGGGACCTTGTGCTTGCCAGGCAGGTATTTATGTCACTGAGTCATATCCCTGGCCCCTATTATAAAAAAAATTATTATTATTTTTTTAATTAGTACAGGGTGACATGGTCTCACTACACAGATCAGACTCGTAGTGATTCTCCTGTTTTTAGCCTCCCAAGAGCTGGGATGATAGATGCGTGCCACCATGCCCAGTCTCAATCTCCATCTCAGCACGCCCCAGGGACTCCATCCCTGTGTCTGCCTAAAGATTAAGAATTTGTTTAACTGGATATAGTAAATATATCTAACTGAAGGTAGTAATATAGTGTGCTCAGAATTCCACTTTAATCCGCTTTAATCCGCTGAGCTCTCTGGCCAGCCCTTCATCAAATATTAATATCAACTAAAAAGTGGACTGATACGCTTAACTGAAATGTTCTTAACCTACTTACTACTATTTATAATGAACTTAAATTTCTTAATTTATCAAGTGTCTTCATTATCAAACCAACAATACCTAATTGGATATTCTAGTTCACTATCTTACCACAACAACACTATTCCCATTGTCATTTTTTCCTACTGAATTGGTGAGAACTTTGCAAACTCTTTAAGGAGTTACATTTTGAAAGCCCAATAAAAAGGATTAAATCCATGAGTATATATTTTAACCAGGATTTGAATAAATTACTTTGTTTAGTTGACCAGAAATATTGTTAATAGCCAGCAATCTTTTTTTCTAAATATAGATTTCTAAAGACATAATAACCAGTATATGTTAAAACTTTAAATCCTTGCCAAAAGAAAAATCAGCATTAGGGTAGATTTCAATAGAAACTGGTGAAGCAAATTTAAATAAATTAAATGCACAATATTACTTACTTTATCTGCAGAGAAGCTGAAGAGTTGTTTTCTTTCAGCAAAGAATTGAACAGCTATTACACTAGCTGAGTGACCCCAAAGAACACCGACTGGTTTAGAAACAACATAAGGGTTCCAAAGGCAAACTTTATTGTTAATGCCAGCAGTTGCTAATCAGATTTTGAAAAGAAAAAAATATTTTTAATAGTATAAATAACCTACAGCAGTTTGTTTTTGAAATAAATTTATAACATATGCATAGGTGGATAAATGCATTTTGATGAATGCTATTACACCCTGTCTTGAAGAAAAGAAAAGCTTGCTTTTGCCCATCCAGCCTACCCTACTACAGCATGTGTTCTGCCAATAGGAACTGTCCTAGTGGAGGAAGTAGGGAGGGAAGGATTCGCCTAGCAGGGAGGCATATGCATGATCTGCAAAAAAATAACCAACAGAAAAAAATATAACCAATAATAACAAATTAAGTGATTGATAGTGAAGGATTTTTTTTTCAAATTTATTCATCAACCTCTCTGCTCTTCCTGCAAAATCTGTAGTATTCTTTGAAAGTTTATGTTGGTGTAGACCTGAATCTATATCATGGGTATTTTTTTTTAAATCATGGCACAGTAGAATAAGCACTTGCCTGGCAAGACCAAGGGCCTGAGTTCAATCCCCAGTTCCACCAAAAAAAAAAGGACTACCAGGCATGATTGTTGGAAAGTTCAGGGATTTAGCCTCTTAGCTACTATCAGTACTCTTAACATAAACACTAACAATTGAATAAACATTAATACAACCCATTTGGAAGGCATATGTGCACTCCGTAACTATGCTCTGAATCTTCAATAACACATCTATACCTCATTTTTTAAAAAGGATAACATACATTTGTTTCTCAAATATTCCAAGTGATTTGTGAATGTGAATAACAAGTTCTATTTCTTGTATTTTCTATGGTTACATTCGATTCCAATTGTTTAATATAATGCAGAAGTTATGTGAAACATCTCAAACCTAAAAAGAACCCCATTAATTTATCTCTACCATACCATACTTTTAAAAGCAGAAATACTTTTCAGTAATACCTACTACTGAGTGTTTAGTCCTTATTCTGTTAACCAGAACCTCACATTCTATGGTTATTCATTCCAGTAAACTCATGTTTATTACCCATAATGACATGGTACCCAAGATGAAAAAAAGTTCCCTTTTCTTCAATTTCAAGAGACATCAGACATGAACAGTCTACCTCCTTCTTGAAAATGTAAAATGAAGTAGTATTTTTGATGAAAAAGTTTTGTTTTCTAATTATTTAGAAAAAAAAACTTTGATACTTGATTTATTTAGCCATCTTCCAAATATCTGAAATGCTTTCAGCTCAACTGCACACTTTTTAAATAAGACACTTTCAAAACAAGAGTTACTGCATTTATATTTTTAAAATCCACTTTATATAAAAGTGGGTACTTTCTACCATATATGCTTCCAATCTGCTCTGATATAGCTGTACTGGTCACATTAATGAAGTCATAAGTATTAAATATATTTCATTTCTTGAACAGAATTGTGCATCATTTTATAATGCTTGAACATGTACATACATGTGCATCAAATTATAACTTTCAGATTGTCTAGATATTTCAATTAAATAATTATGTCTGGAATCCTTTATATTTCATCAGCTATAATATGCCATTTTCATCAAAAGAATCTGAATAAACTAAAGTTAAGATGACCTGCAAATGTTAAAAACAATCTTTACACATTGTATTTTTAAAAGTAATCAAACAACATTCTCCATTTGTTTCAGTTTTCTAGTGGAGTATGAGTGTGTGTGTGTGTGTGTGTGTGTGGCAGTGTGAGAGTGTGTGTGTGGCAGTGTGTGAGTGTGACAGAGAGAGAAAGAAGGGGGAGAGAGAGAGAGAGAGAGAGAGAGAGAGAGAGAGAGAGAGAGTATAGCTGCAATGAAAATGATGTCTTTGTTTGGGTGCAGCATTTGGTAGTGTTAGGAAAATGGCAGAATGACAGATGCTGTACAGACTGTCTTCTTTCTCTATATCGTTTCATATACCCCACAAATTCAAATAAAAAGACATTAAAGCATTGCGTGTTTTCTTGTATTTTCACCCCACTGTTGTTCATATATACTACACATCATAATGCATAGTTATCAGACATTCTCAGGCAATAAAATGTGAGCTGCTCAAGTTGGTCTCTCTGGCAATAAAGCAACAAGATGGAGATGCTCCACGCATACAAATGTGTGCAGTCGTGCACCGCAGACCATTTAAGAGGCCCTCAAAGTTATCATGATTTATTTCACATACCAATTAAGTTGAGCCGAGAGTGGTAATCAAAAGCATAAATGCCCTGGGCAATGTTTAAGGATGTCATTTTAAGATGATCTTTTGATTTCTCTCTCCAGGCCAGTACCACAGTATTTGTATTGTTGGTTGTACTGGAAATGATAACATCCAAGGATGCGTTGTAGGCAACTGGAAAAAAAATTAAACAGAAGAAAAGAATTTTTGTTGATTTTTAACAAAATATGACCAAAATAAAAAAGTATAAGTATACAGTGTTAAAAATTATCTCAGAAACACCCTTTTGCACTTCCTACCCAAGAATTTACAGTGAGAAGAAAATTGTGCTTTCAGACTTGCCTTCCATTCTAGAAATACTTTAATTTTTTTAAAAGGAACACGTGGCTGGGAATAGTATTAAATTAATCACCATTGTCATATAGGATTGTGTAAATGTGAAATGAATAGTGGATCAAATTCCCATGTTCTTTCTTTCTTTTTTCCCATAATTTTATTGAGAAACAAATAGCCATGAGACAGTTTCAAACCAAATTGGTAGGACAGTCTCAATAATTAACACATTGCATACATTCTTCCTAGTCTTTAATTGCTGTACAAGATGCGGACATGATATCCTATTTACAAACACTATTATTACAAACAAATCCCTCTATTCATTAAGAGAATGTAACTATATATCTATTCTAACCATTTTGAATACACAGATACAAAATGGACATTCATCTGTATCCCCTTTTTTTGTTGAGTTCCGTTATTTGAATATTATAGGTGTGTTAACTCAGCAAATTATTCTAAAAGAGTCCAGTAGTCCATAATAGTATTGGGTCTTCTGCTTCACTGGCAATGTCAGAAATTGTTGACTTGAGTCCCCTACAGCTCAACATAACAGTATGGCTTTACTTCTTATATTTTGACCCATGTTCTTTCTCCTGGACCTGAAACAGGCAAACAAGATCTTTCCAACCATCTGCTGCTCTGCTATGGTCCAGCTTCAAGATGAGCTTATTTGAATTTTGACTGTTGTGGAATATTTGACACTAGACTGGTTTCAATGCCTGCCAAGTCACACAAATACAGCTGGTGGTTCAAGCCAAGACAGCTACCCCTGTGTTCCCTGTGACTTAGTACCAGAATGTTATGTATCAAAATCTCACTTCTCAAGCAAAATTAATGGTATTGTTCCCTTTGGTCAAGAGAAGCTTCCCATTCCTCTCAAACTCACACCTCCAAAAAGCATGTAGCATCACAGCTGCTCCTTGGCCAACACCAGACCACCGTGCACTCCACACTTAGGTGGAAGTCCTCTCTTGCATTTTAGAATAACTTGTGATCACTGCAGAAAGAGTTCTGATTTGACCTCAAGATCAATACTACTGCCTCACACAAGGAAAGATTTTGTCACTTCGTACAGCTTAAAGACAATTACTTTAACAGAATGGCTCTTAGAAATACTTCAGATTTACTTCTTAAATAGACTTAAGTGTGACAATCTAGGAAGAAAATTTTCAATGCTGCACTTCCTTTTCTGTAGAAATCCTAAAGAACAGATTCATGAAAGCATTAGCCTGTTTTCTCATATGTTTATCTCATGTTGTTCATACACACTACACACTGCAATGCATCATTATCAGACGTTTTTAGGCAATGAAGTATGGGCTTTTACTTTTAAAACTTATGAAACTGAGCATTGACTGCCCTTTGTTCTACATTATCTTTTCCAAGTTACTTATTTAGAAAACAGCTTCAGACTGTAAAGATGGTATTTTCCAGTTAAAGATAGCACCACCTTCTGAGACAGAAGGAGGTATGCATTCTTCAGCCATTTCCAATCTATTGGCTTTCCTGGAATGGTCTTGGGCTACATATAAAATACACATTATAGTTAGTGTATATAAGTAAAAAATTTCTTTTTTAAACATTCTTATGATAATTTTTAATAAGAAGGCAAGCACCCTGTAGGTCACAGGTTGGACAGACTGGAAGGTTCAAATTCCTATAGTTTTGGCCCCTGTCTTGTAATGTGATACAGTAAAAGCTCTGGAATTCATCTGGGCCCACCTTTGCTGCCTTTATGCAGTTGTAACTAGGGGAACCGAAACAAATGCAGTGATACTTAGGTGCTTGTCTACCAGAATCAGAATATTATTCTCTGGAATGTGTGTGGGATGTTTTAGCCCTTATTTCAAGGAAGCACTATCATATTTTTATTACTGGTTATATTATAAATGCTAAGCTAAGTTACTGACAGTTAATTTGAGTGTAACATAAGAGCCTACACCCTTCACAGTTCCAAACAAGCATTGCTATGGCCACGTGTTTCTATCCTTCCCAAGTCCTCCACCTTCAAGGAGATGCTGTTAACAAGTAGTTCCTTTGAAAGATGTCTTTAGGTCACGAGGGCAAAGTCCTTCCAAATGGGACTAGCACCCTCATAATAGAGGACTAAGGGACCTTGTTTGGCTTCCCACTATGTGAGGACGAAGCTACCTGCGAAATCAGGAAGTGGCCCTCAATAGGTACTACATCAGCCAGTGCTTTAACTTGGACTTTTCTGCCTCCCTGACCATACAAATAAAATTACGTTGCTCATAAGCCACCCAACCCATAATATAGCTTTGGTATAGCAGCTTGAACAAACTAAAACAAGAACCTTCACACAAAAGTATTTGCAAATGTACCCCTCACTAAAAAGTTAAATAGAACATCCAGTTTTGTTATTTTGGTGAAAGAATTTAACTTGATTTCTATGTATATATATGTACATGCATTTATGCATCTAGATAAGCATGTATATATGTGCACACATAACTATGTATAAACAAATTTCAAATAATTACCTACGGTAAGGAAATTCTGAAGCAGAAAGGCTCAATTAATTATTTTTCCTTTGATCTATTCTACTGGATTAGTTATTACACAAGCAACCAGGAATTGTTCATTAAAGAGATAATACTGACAGGAATAGCTTAATTTAACCTAGTTCATATGTATTTTCCTAGGAAATAAATGGCTTAACACAACAAATTCATAATCATATTAATTAAATTAACATTATTCTATGTGTCTTCCACAGATACCCTCTCTCAAAATATGTCATCCAATCTTGAAAGACTTATTAAGCATCTACTCTATTTCTTGCGCTATGACAAGGGCAATGAGAGAATAAACAGATACAACCTCTATCTTAATTGTATAGCTCTATGCCTTGGGAAAAACACAGGTAGATCAAAATTTAAAGAATATTTTAGCATATACCAAAGAGCTAAAGGAAACCTAAATGTTGGAGCAGAAATTAGAAGAAATCAGTGTAGATTTCAGAGTTTTGAAGACATTAAGTGAACACAAAAAATAAGAGGTTGTGACAAAATATCTTTGTGGGAAATAAAAGATACATTTTAGAATTTTGACATGAAAGAGGACTTGTCTACTTCTTAATTACAGATAAAGAAATCAACTCACCCACACAAATTCAACAAACTGGCCACGGTTAGCAATTGTTTATAGTCAAACTCAGATCTGGAGTTCTGAGATTAACTCTGAATGTAATTTAGTTTAATGTTACATATTATTCAATATAAAACAAAGTTTGGTACATGAGTAGTAGAGCCAGAGAATAAATTCAAAACATAAGGCCAGATCCTATGACTTAATATGCATGTGAATTACCCAGAGCCCACTGATGAAAGGCAGAGTTTTCATTCTTTAAACCTGAGATTTGGCATTTCTCACATGTTTCCAAGATGTTGCTCTGCTAATCCCTGAAGACCACACTTCAGGCGAGAAGGTGCTGGAAGGCATCCCACAGAGCTCTGACATCACGTGTGCTGTTCTGAACTCTCCACACTTCTTACAGTTTGGAAACCAAATACCCATTTGGCAATATGATGAAAGTTTCATATTTTAAAGCTTCCCACCGCCATTTATAAAGCCCAGCCATGGGACATAAACCTATGGGCAGAAGGGAATTTTGGACTGGGAGAAGAATCCCCACCTGCTTCCTCCAAGGGTGTCTGAAAGCTTCTGTTATTAGCCATGCTCAAGCCCTACTTCAGCTCCCTCTTTTTAACTATTACTTCCTTAATGTGAAAGGATTTAACTGTCCTTTAGCTCTGTGCTCCCTTTAATGACAGAAACCATTTCCTTCTAGAAAATCAGAGGAGCTTGGATGTAGATGAGATTTCAGGGGGCTACCAAAGAAGCTGGCCTCACAGGCATGAAGTGCGCAGAGCAATTCACTGTGAGGTGTGCTGTAGTGTACAAAAGGACTGCCAAAGGGCAAAACAGCTTTTTTCCCCCCACTCTGACAAGAATTTTCATGGACGCTGTTTCCTGTTCTTCCTCCATTCTGCAATTTCTCCCCAACATATGGATTACTTTTATGGTTAGGATGATTTATTGAATTCCTCCAATGTACCAGGCACCATGCCTGGAACTCTTGCTCTGAGATAATCTTCAGTAGGTAAATTAGCCCAAGCTCACTGATGCGAAGCTAGGCATCCTGACATCCAACTTGCCCAAGGGTACGCAACTAATGACAGGGGAAGACGAGATTGCACCCAGTGCTGACTTGCCATGCGCTCTCCTGTTACGCACCAGGGCACGCTCCTCTTCTACTGAGCCAAATCCGGGTTTGCTTCCATGACCAACCACTCTTCTGCCCCTCGTAGCCAGACCAAGCCACACTTCATCTCAAGTCTTTCCTTGCCTGATGTTTTAGGCTACTATTGTCAACTATCCCCATCAGAACTGTGTTCCTCTCTTCCTTGTTTTCTCTTTATCCTATTCTCATTTACTGTCTTTCCTGCTTAGGAAGAAGAGAAAAAGGGATAAAGGGAAGGTGGGCCCCTTCTCAGTTCCTATAAAAGGAAGAGCTTTACATTTCATTAAGGAGAAATTAATTTCAGGAGCATATGAGACAGTGATCACTGATTATGCTACTAAACCTATACTGAGCAACTGATAAGTATAATCCTCATGACATGTATTCCCATACAGACAACAACTGCACTAACAATATGCTTTTTGTTTACAGAAAACAGTAAGTTAAGGGTTATTATAACTTAATATTTGGTAGGGCCAGCCAAATAGCTCAGTGGATTAAAGCACCTGCAAGCAGGCGCAGGGGCCAGCGGTTCCATTCCCAGCATGCCTTGCCAGCTCCATCTCCCAAG